ATACATACATACATACATACATACATACATACATACATACATACATACATACATACATACATACGTACGTACGTACGTACATACATACATACATACATACATACATACATACATACATACATACATACATACATACATACATACATACATACATACATACATACATACATACATACATACATACATACATACATACATACATACATACATACATACATACATACATACATACATACATACATACATACATACATACATACATCGATCTGTGCTGCACTTCATTGGACTCTTGGACAGGGACAAGATGGTATGTTGAATTTGCAACAGACACTCCATGCAGTATTTGTGTGAGCAGTTAGCGAAGTTGTGACGCGCATTGTAATGGCGATAACACTGCCCAGTCACGCTTGGGCCATACACCTTACGTGTATCGCTGAGTCCCGTGAGGCAATTAACGGCGGCTTAAGTGGCACTGAGAAACTGCCAGCTGACTGACTGACTGACTGACCTTCTACCCCACCAGGACATCACACAAGCGATAAACACCCGATGACACAAAGTGCCACCATGCGGATGAGGATCGCCGTGGAGAGGTCCCAGAAACCGCGTTCAGACATTTGGCCATATGTATGGCCTGACTATATTGCGGCCCCTGTCAAAAGCCAGAGTAGGGCTTCAAATGACAAAAAATTTCGTCCTGAAAAGAACGAATCTGAATGAGCACTGCCAGCTAGGAGTCGTGTTCCTTATAAATCCATGGGGACCTGCGTGGGTTGACCAGTGATTGTAAAGCTGCTCATCGCCAGGGGTTTCGGATAGGAACTGCCTAACTCAGTTGAAGTGTTTAACGTCGATTTGTTCATTGTACATTAAAGATTATGTTTGTACTCAGCGGGAGTGTGTCTTAAGTGTGTCTAGGGTAGTAAAGTCTGTTAGCTGGCCTACCTAGCGAGTCATATTACATGTACAGAGTAAAGTAGGTCCCTGACACACACACACACACCACACACACACACCACACACACACACCACACACACACACACACACGCACATGCATATATATATATATATATATATATATATATATATATATATATATATATATATATATATATATATATATATATGTATATATTCCACAAATACTCACACACACATCACAAGTAACTCATTAAACCACCTACACTTGTACAAATACATAAACCAATTACATCACCCATACATATTTACACATAGGCTGACAGACTCACCACCCTACACAGAAACACACACACACAACCATACACCAGTTGTGTGTAACAGGGTTAATCTACCGGTGGTGTAGATACACACAAGCTTGCCTCTGATATCTGACAGGGAAATTCTTGTAATTGCACCTCTACCAGTGTTTGTGTTTGCGGGTGTGGGCAGGAGAGAAACACAAATGCCAACTGTGAAAATATTGAATGTCTCCGCTCGGCTAATACGTCATCTGTCACAGTTGGCACAGAGTCCCGGCTGTCGGCACTGAGGTTCAGTTTGTGATTACATGTAAGTGGATGTTACCGACTTTTACAATCTCACCGGAAGCTAAAAGTTACATTTATGGGTAGTGGAAGGTACTGCAAGTTGGGTGTAAATACAACATCAGTAATGCTTCGCTTCTGTCAAATTATTCTTTTTGTTTCTGTCTTTCTTTTGGGGTTTTTTCACAACCATAATGCCTCTCCCCCCCCCCCTCCCCCCCCCCATTTTCTAATTAAAAATATTGCGAGAACCTAATCTAAAAGAGAAGTACAATTTGTTTCCTGGAAAAAATATATAGTTGTATATATAATTCTGAATTACACATAGAACGTTGCCAGTAGAAAGCCTTTATCAGCGAAGAAGACAATCAGATAATGATACAATTACATCAAAGAAAAGTAAATAACTCAGATTTCCTGTTAAACCTGTCAGACTCTGTACTCACACTGAAACAACAAAGCTACGCCCTCACTTTTTCTTTTTGTGTGCATTTGGATTATAAGGCCACTTTGACCTTCTCCGCCTAGAGAAGTTTCTATTATTTGTTGAATTGCTCTACAGGGACATATATATCAGTTGTCTAAATTTTTATTTTGCTGAATAAAACTTGTTTCAGAAAATATCTCTCCTCCGCGCGGTGATCACTTGATCATTTCTTGATAATTACAAATAGAAGTGGCTGTTTTTTAAGGATTGATGAAGCTTTTAATTTGTTTAAGTTTATTTTGATTATGTCTGGTTTACTTTGTTCATGCATTTTTTAATTTATTTATTTAAAGTTCTAATTAAAATCTAGAAATAGAGAATGTATCCGGGAACATTTTTCAAAAGTTTTGAAATTCAATAAAGAAACTCAGAGGCAATCAAACAAAACAAGTATTGGGACAGCTAGTCCCCTCTTGCAGTAAAAAGATAATTACAAGCACACACACACACACACAAACACAAAATCTCATAGAAATCATAAAAATTGCCACTCTTTGCTACCAGTGCCAGACATGGTCAAGCCCAATAAGCCATTAGAGAACATTAAAAACTATGGAACTGAGACGTCTGAGCAGGGCTGTCGGAGTGGCTAGAAGAGATACAGTTAGACATGAAGTGTTCTGTCGGAGTGGCTAGAAGAGATACAGTTAGACATGAAGTGTTCTGTCGGAGTGGCTAGAAGAGATACAGTTAGACATGAAGTGTTCTGTCGAAGTGGCTAGAAGAGATACAGTTAGACATGAAGTGTTCTGCCGGAGTGGCTAGAAGAGATACAGTTAGACATGAAGTGTTCTGCCGGAGTGGCTAGAAGAGATACAGTTTGACATGAAGTGTTCTGTCAGAGTGGCTAGAAGAGATACAGTTAGACATGAAGTGTTCTGCCGGAGTGGCTAGAAGAGATACAGTTAGACATGAAGCGTTCTGTCGTAGTGGCTAGAAGAGATACAGTTAGACATGAAGTGTTCTGTCGGAGTGGCTAGAAGAGATACAGTTAGACATGAAGTGTTCTGTCGAAGTGGCTAGAAGAGATACAGTTAGACATGAAGTGTTCTGCCGGAGTGGCTAGAAGAGATACAGTTAGACATGAAGTGTTCTGCCGGAGTGGCTAGAAGAGATACAGTTTGACATGAAGTGTTCTGTCAGAGTGGCTAGAAGAGATACAGTTAGACATGAAGTGTTCTGCCGGAGTGGCTAGAAGAGATACAGTTAGACATGAAGTGTTCTGTCGGAGTGGCTAGAAGAGATACAGTTAGACATGAAGTGTTCTGTCGGAGTGGCTAGAAGAGATACAGTTAGACATGAAGTGTTCTGTCAGAGTGGCTAGAAGAGATACAGTTAGACATGAAGTGTTCTGCCGGAGTGGCTAGAAGAGATACAGTTAGACATGAAGTGTTCTGCTGAAGTGGCTAGAAGAGATACAGTTAGACATGAAGTGTTCTGTCGGAGTGGCTAGAAGAGATACAGTTAGACATGAAGTGTTCTGTCGGAGTGGCTAGAAGAGATACAGTTAGACATGAAGTGTTCTGCCGGAGTGGCTAGAAGAGATACAGTTTGACATAAAGTGTTCTGTCAGAGTGGCTAGAAGAGATACAGTTAGACATGAAGTGTTCTGCCGGAGTGGCTAGAAGAGATACAGTTAGACATGAAGTGTTCTGTTGGAATGGCTAGAAGAGATACAGTTAGACATGAAGTGTTCTGCCGGAGTGGCTAGAAGAGATACAGTTAGACATGAAGTGTTCTGCCGGAGTGGCTAGAAGAGATACATTTTGACATGAAGTGTTCTGCCGGAGTGGCTAGAAGAGATACAGTTAGACATGAAGTGTTCTGCCGGAGTGGCTAGAAGAGATACAGTTAGACATGAAGTGTTTTGCCGGAGTGGCTAGAAGAGATACAGTTGGACATGAATTGGTCTGTCGGAGTGGCTAGAAGAGATACAGTTAGACATAAAGTGTTCTGCCGGAGTGGCTAGAAGAGATACAGTTGGACATGAAGTGTACTGTCGGAGTGGCTAGAAGAGATACAGTTAGACATGAAGTGGTAAGAAACAAACGTCGGCACAGAACAAATTCTAAATAAATACAAAGTAGGCCAGACATTAGATAGAGTGTCTTGTTACCTCATACCAGACAAGGCAACACTGAAATAAGAGAAGGACGTAGAGCAAAAAGTAGTCCATGAACAAGATGGAAATAGAACATCAAAGAAATTCGACATGGTTTCTGTGATCGAGGCAGCCAGAAGAGCCACAAGCAGAACTTCATATCTCCCTCGGCCTCCGAGGGGTAAGTCAGGAAGTGAAGAAGGAGAAGATGGAGAAAAAGAAGATAGAGAATGTTGCGAGACCACACTGAATAACAACACCAAAACTAGGTGGATTTATTTGCTCAAAGTTGGACAAGGAGAAATAAGCCAGAAATGATGCTGTCAAAAAATCAACTGTGGGCCTGTCGTCCATTCCCATAACCCGGAAGCAACAAGAGCAGATAAGTGTACACTCTTGTCAGCGCCTCCATAAATTTAAGTTATCAACTCAAGAAATCCACATGTTTATCCAATAGTCCACACTAAAAACCCACATGTGCAAACAGAAATCTATCTATACAACAAATCCAAACAACTGTCCAGCCATTCAAAAACCCACAAATGCTCATACAACAATCAATACACTCAACAAACCCACAAGTGTATACAACAATAATCCACTCAACAAACCCACATGTGTATACAACAATAATCCACTCAACAAATCCACATGCTTATATAACAATCCACCCAATATACCAACATGCTCACATAACAATCCACTCAAGAAACACATATCCATAAAGAAATCCACTCAAAAACCTACATGTCCGTACAACAACCCTACATACCCATGTATCCATACAACAAACCATGCAAAAAAAACTCACATATCAATACCACAATCCACTCAACAAACCCCCATATAACCACTCAAGAAATCTACATAAACATACAACAATTAATGCCCTTTTTTTAAAATCTGTTATTTAATATTCCTAGCTATTCGACGGAAATAACCAGATTTCATTTCTTGTAGTGCTTCTTCTAAGACATGGGTCACGTGTACCAGATTGACTGGATCTGTCTGCAGCAATGTCGTCTTTTTTGCCTCATCGTCTTTTGTCTGTAGCTTTAGGAGAACTAGCGGCGCCACCTGATGTCGTAAAGATCGACTAGCAAGCTGGAGAGAGATTATAACACATTTGTAACTAAAGAAATCAGTGGTCATGGGTTAAATTTTGCATTGTGACATTTGTAAAAATTACTTGGGCTAAAACAGGTACCAGAAAATGTCCCAGAAAGTAAAGGTGGCTGGTTTGATTGTGACAAAATTACACATTAACCCTATAGCCAGGAGAAGCCTCAAAACTTGACACGCCAGTTAGGGCTAATTGCCTGTAAATGTCACTTGTCTGACTTATCTATAGTGACGCCTTTGCAAGACATATAGTTAATGCTATTATCTTTGTTTATCATCATCATCATGTGTTGGGCTGATAAGCGTAAGCTGTCATGTTTCATCACCTCACACGATCACCAGATATCACAGATTGGCTGAATTAATCTGGGAGCCAATGATAGAAAATTATACAATTACTTTAAAACAAACACTGCTATCACTGTGAGTACAGTCTGTCATGTTTGATCATCTCAGTTCAGTTTTGAGTCGACCCATCCATCTGGCCAGGCCATTGAGGTATTTATCTCTTTGCCTTCCTCTTGCTCTCTTCACATCAATTTTGCCAGTTGTTACCAAGTTCTCAAGTCCATTCCTTCCCAAAATATGCCCAAAAACATTGACAATCTTCATCTAATTGTTCCAATAAGTTGAGGACTTTTATCTGTCCTTCAAAGGCAGATGTGGTCAAGGCCCTTTGGGAACAAGCAATGGACTCAGTAGAGATAGAAGATTATTATGGCCTGGAGAGAATGAGGCATCTGGGTGTAACTAGAGGGTCTGGCCGGGCTCACTACACTCAGAGGAAAGGCAAAGTGGACATATAACCAGATTGTGACCGGTGCCATCGGAATTGGAACTCTGCGCTGGCTGCTGAAGATGAGGACGGGGTATGCAAGGGAATGCTCCCCAAGTTCTGTGATGTCAATTCTTGACTCAACTCAACTCAATCTGTCCTTCAAACTAAATGGATTTTTTTTTTAAAGCCAAGTTAACCTCACATTTTCCCTAAGCCTCAGTGATTAAGGTCGTGATGTGGATCACCAGATTCATAAATTTTTTTGTTGGGGGGGGGGGGGGGGGGGGGGGGGGGTGTGTTGTGGTGTGATGTAATCAATTTAATGCTTCACTCTATTCATGTGTATTGATTATTTTTTATTTTGGGTCTTATATAATTCCTTACTTTTATTTAATCAATTTTTATAATTTTCACAAATTTCTGGAGTCTACACAACAAAACAAAACTAAAACGTGAAAAAGCCAACTTCACAGGAATGATAGAGACTGAATTAATCAAGTATTGACATCCCTGCACTCCAGACATTCCTACAACATGCTCTGTCTCCTTCACTCCTTCCTCCCACTTGTATCATTGCCCACCTCTTGCTCTCTTGCCTTCGACCTTTCCCTTCAGTATAGTTTTTAAAAGCGTGTTATGTCTTTTAATATAGCCAGAGTATTTAAATTGTCTCTTTTTTTATTTTCTTTCAGTAATTCTCTTTTCATTTGTAGCCTTTCCAGAACCTTTGTGTTGGACCGTTTTGGTTTCCATGAAAGATGACCTATTCTCCTGTATATCCACATCTCCAGAGACTCATTCAATTGTTAGGGAAGAGGTTGGTCTATTCTTTCACCCCTCCTTCTCAAATGGATGCCATAAAACCCACACGGGTTAGGAGAATCCTGTAAACTTAATTTTCAGCAACCATAGACATCATGGGCTGCTGCCAATCTATAGGAGCTAGAAGCTCGACTGTGGATCGAAAGTCGTAGGTTCGGGTCCTGAGGGAGCCGGGCTTTTTCCAAAAATCATCTTGGCTTCCATGTCGACCCAGCCTTAGGGGGATCCAGGTACAGTCATGGGAAGTAAAGGTGGCTGGCGTGATGAAGACCACATCACCTGCGTGCCGATAAGTGTGCAAAATATAGGTCTAGTCATATATGCCCAATCTCCTGAAGGCATGGACACAAGTCCTTCACCTTTTTCAGGCATCACGACACAAGGCATTCAAAGACCCATTTCATGTAATTGGCACATCAGGCATATGGTGAAAGATCTACATTTTTACAGACTAATGAGAAACATTGAAAAGGATAATAGCAGAAGGCATGGCACCGAGAAGGAGGGGCAGGGGCCAACCAACAGGAAGATAGGCACAGGATAGAAGTGACTCCTTGAATATGAAAGTACATGAGGCAGGACAGCTGGCAAGAGACTGAGTTTCCTTCAGGCAGACTATGATGAGGGCAACGTTCTGCAAAGGACCTGCTGCATGATGATCATGAATCAGAATCAGTAAATGGGTGATGCAATCAAAACTGTGCTGGCTGCCTTTACCTCCCAGGATACTTCCTGGTGCCAACTTTGGGCTGGATTGATCTGGCAGCCAACAATAGAAAATCATACAATTATTTTAAAATAACCACTGGTATCACTGTGAGTACAAACCCAAAACATTCTGGCTAATCAGGTGCATTACCTGAACATCAAATCTCCACTCCAAGTTATGGTAGTGAGGCAAGTCCAGGCTCATATCATCTAAGATCTGCCTGACCTCCCGCCGGTGCTCCAGATACAGCTCCAACAACGTGGATCTTGTTTCTTCACTGAAGCCTAAAGTCATCAGAGAATCCTGGAAGTCTACCTCATTCAGCTGGAAAGAACAAAGAATTTATCAACACCTGGACCACGAACAAGAAGTTTGAAAACTGGAGATGTCGATATATAGAATTTTCATGGAAACAACCAGTCAAATATAGAGGTTTTGAAAGGACTAGGAATAAAAGAGACTTGCTGAAGGAAACTATTTTTTAAAACAATATAAGCCCCTCTACCACATTAAGATGGAGATACATCAGTCTTGGGGTCATCTCAGCATATAAGCCCTTCTACCACATTAAGATGGAGATACATCAGTCTTGAGGTCATCTGAGCATATAAGCCCCTCTACCACATTAAGATGGAGATACATCAGTCTTGGGGTCATCTGAGCATACAAGTCACTCTACCACATTAAGATGGAGATACATCAGTCTTGAGGTCATCTGAGCATATAAGACCCTCTACCACATCAAGATGCAGATACATCAGTCTTGGGGTCTGAGCATACAAGCCACTCTACCACATTAAGGTGGAGATACATCAATCTTGGGGTTATCTGAGCATACAAGCCCCTCTACCACACTAAGACAGAGAGATACATCAATCTTGGGGTCACCTGAGCATATAAGCCACTCTAACACATTGAGGTGGCGATAAATCAGTCTTGGGGTCATACAAGCCACTATACCATATTAAGATGAAGATACAACATTATAACACAGTGAATAATTTAGTATCCATATGAGAGAGAATTATACAGGAAAAACATACAAGTAGAACAGAAATTAGAACAAAGATGGAGAACACATGAAAAGCACTACAAAGAGTAAGAGAGCATATATATCAATCACATACACTAAAACAGTTTTTACCAGAAATCTGGAGCCCTCGATGAGGAGGTACATAAGTCCTTCCACACCATGCTGTACGGTTTCTACTGGCACCCCAAGTTTTTCTATTCAACAAAAATAAAGCATCATATTTTAAAACAAAAACAAGAATTGGTGTATTGTTCAAGTAGACAAAAATAATATACATTTCAAATTAAAAAAATATGCATACAATATGGAACTCTAGACAATATCGTTTTAAAAAGCAAGTTATGTATTTTAAATTCTAATGATAATTCAGTTTCAACATATGCCAGTGAAAGTTGAAGAACCACTAAAGACATGAAACCAAATTTAAATGCACTCAAAATCAAATGCCTCAGGAAATTATGGACATTAAATAGAATGAATTTAAGAAAGGCCAAGAAATAAGAGAAATGTCTGGACATTCTTTGGAGGCAACAGTTATAAGACAAAGAAGGTGGCCAAATCCTGAAAAGAAGAAGAGAAAGATACACAATAATTAGCACTCAAAACTTGTGAATAGACTCCTGGCTGTTTAATTTCTTCTTCTTCAGCATTCCGAGCCCTTGAGGTTCATTGCTGCAGATATCACCCACCTCCATTCATCTCTCTGGTTGGCCTTCTCTTTCCAGTTGGTAACACCAGGTGTTTGCAGGTCTGTCTGGACATTATCTCTCCATCGTCTTCTTGGTCTGCCTCGTGGTCTATGACCATTCATCTCCCTTGTGTATACAGTTTTTAATTCTCTGTCATCTGATATTCTTTCAATATGCCCCAACCATTTCAGTCTATTATCTCTCATGATGCCAGTGATTTAAACAGATTATGAATTTTGTTGTTGCTTCTTACTCCCCATTCCCCGCTGTTCGCATCTTTGATGGGTCCAAAGATTTGTCGTAAGACTGTTTTCAGAAACCTGTAATAAGGCTTTATCTCTTTTAGTTTGTTTAATTTATGCAACAACAAAAATTCATGTAATTACCGCAATGATAAAATCATATGATAATTTCCAGACATTATTTGTTCTCATGTCCTGGACAACTAGTCAATAAGCAAGCAAATAGAAAATCTCGTGAGAGTTCAGAGATGAGACTCTATACACAAATACTAAAATGACTTGGACAACCATGAGTAATCTAACTGTTCTGAATATAAATTTTAAAAAGAGACAGTCATCATTTTTAACAGGGAGGTGGGATCTTTAACATGATGTGACATGCCTGTAATCACAAGTGATGAGTTAAGTTGAGACAAGAATTGACATCACAGCACTCGGGCATTCCCATGTGTGCTCCGTCCTCATCTTCAGCAGCTAGCGCAGAGTTCCAGTACTGATGGTACCGGTCACAATCTGGTTATATGTCCACTGAGTGTAGTGAGCCGGCCAGACCCTCTGGTTACACCTCATTCTCTCCAGGCCATAATAATCTTGTTTCTCTACTGATTCTGTTGCTTGTCCCTAAAGGGACTTGACCACATCTGCCTTGTAATGTATCAATTCACCACCAAGTGGTGCAGATCCAGCCAATCTGTCTGCCTGTTCATGCATAAGTGATGATAGTTTGCCAAGACAAATAATTACTTACTATATGTAATGGATCCCATGACGTGGAGAGATTGAAAATAATTTATGGAAAGAAAGATTCCTTACAGTCTCTGGCCATAGCAAGAAGAGTAAATGAAATGATACATGCTGTTGAAGACTATAAGATGTGAAGAGGCACAATTCCTTAGACCAACAGAATCAGGCGGATGAGAGGTCAGAATGCCCACCTCATAAATGGATGTGTGATCACTCTTTGTAAGGCTTGGCTAGCCTGTACACCGCATGTCAACTACTTCAGCAAAGAAAAGCAGCCTGTTTTAATTATCATCATCAGCATTATCATTATCATCATCATCAACTTGTTGTGCAGTGACAGGTCACACCAAGGGCATGCAGTCTAGCCTTCCATTCCCTTCTATACTGTGGAAACCTTTCAATATTGGGCAAAAGTCAGGCCCGCATGGGTGGCCATTTTTTTCCATTTCAGCAGGTTTCACTCAGCACCTCCCACCCCACCTCTATCATCATCATCACGTGGACAATAATGCCTTTCCACAATCTGCAATCTTTAACAGCACTCACATATCGGTGACTGGGTCGCCCACTGGCTGGCCGGGAGATGACTTCGACACCGGTCGGGACAGTATTTGGCTCTGTCTCCTTTGATCGCATCAACACTGCAGGAGTCCTTCTCAGGGCTTTTGGTGGCATGCAGCGCTAAGCCATTTTACAGGGCACACATAACCTAGTCACAATTATAACCTAAAGCTCCCCTTTCAGGAATGCTGGTTGAATGTCACAATTTTTTTTTTAGCAAAACACATACCTATCTTCAACAGCATGTATCAGAGTGCTCAATGCTCAATGCTTGACAAAAGGTTATCAAGAATCTTCTTGCACTGTCCTCCTCTTTCTCTTTTTCCACACATCTTTCTAATGGTCACAGCATGTTCCAGTAATATGACAAAAAATGATGACTGTCTCTTAATGATGTTTGTAATCAGTTGTTGTCGAGCCCTCGCCTCTTTAAAAAATCTAGGCTGCCTTATTGGCTGTCCAAGGAATTCTAAGAATTATTCTGTAAAACCACATCTCTGAGGCCTCAAGAAATTGTTAGGCTTGTTTATTTATTGTCCAGGATTCGCAGCAACACAGGCTAAAACTGGCTCTATTTAGCAAGTAAGAATTCTTTTTCTAACCTCGAGATGGATTTATTGTATAAAATTTCTTCATTTTACAAAACTGCTTTAGCTTGTGCTATTCTGTTGTTTATCTCTGCGATAAAGAATCCTCACCCCTGTCTGACATGCACACTGTGGGAACTATACAGTCTTTATTTTATGCAGGTAATGGTAGTTGAGCCTGCATTGTCCTGTTCTTAGATGGAAAATTGTTGTATGTTGTTTTCTGTTGAGTCTGTTGATGGGGTCTTGTGGGTGTTCATAGTCTGTTCTATCCATAATTTCTTTATTTCCCCTTGCTTGGTTATTTGATTTCCCACAGTCTCTTTCTTTTAACTTGCCAACAATATTTAGACTGTCTCTTTCTTATGCCAGTAATCAGTTCTTTCTGTGAGTTAATTGCTTTTGAGACATCTTCATGGTGTATATTATCTGCCTGCCTGTGGTGATTTCACCATTCTCCTATTTAAAAAAAAAAAAAATTTATATTCAGATAAAATATAAAATTGCAAAATGCTCACGAGCTGCGCCTTGAAATATCTTTGGGTTGATTCCCTTGCGTATGAAGTTCAGAGAAATACGGCCAAACTCTTTCAACACTGAAAACAGATATTTTTCACTGTGCATTTATAAACTTTGAGCTATAATAAAAGATATAAAAATATGATACATGATATTTAAAAAAAATAGAAATCATACTATAGGTAAAAGTTACAAGTGAAGATTCTGAATAATGAAATATGATGCAAGCTTTACTGCAGTGGGAGCCATTGTAAAGTCTCGGGAAGTAAAGCTGACCACATCCCCACTGAGTGCCTACTGATTTGGGAAGGGGGGGGGGGGGGTAACAGTGGGTCAATTCCCCCCCCCCCAAAAAAAGGCCCTGGAACATACATGAGCAGCCGACTCATCATCATGTAGCGGGTCCTTTGCAGAACGTCGCCGCTCTCATCACAGTCTGCCTGAAAGAAACTCAGTCTCTCGCCAGCTCTCCCACCTCATGTACTTTCATATTCAAGGAGTCACTTATATCCTGGTACCATGTCTTCTGCTGTTGTTGTTTTTCCCAATCCGCCACGGCACTTGATTATGACCAAAATATTTCAGCTTCTGAGACAAGATGCTGTTTATGAGCCAATCTTCCTTTCAAAATGTGAATATTTCTCCTCTTCTTTGTCCATGGTATACTGAGAATCTTTCTATAGCATTTCAGCTCAAAAGCTCCGCCCCTATTCTCTTTCTTAAGGACTGGGAGATAGTCCACGCTTCACGTACGTATGTTGCTATAGGGAAGATAGGACTGAGAGATAGTCCACGACTCACATCCGTATGTTGCTATAGGGAAGATGGGACTTGGAAATAGTCCACGACTCACATCCGTATGTTGCTATAGGGAAAATGGGACTGGGAGATAGTCCACGACTCACATCCGTATGTTGCTATAGGGAAGATGAATGCTCTTAAGATTTTTTATTTTCATTTCCTTGCTGGTGCATAACTACAGACATTTAATACTGTTTAACCTCTGCATTGCTATGGCCATTCTCCTTTTCATTTCTGTCAAACAGTCAAGCAGCCAACTGGTCTATAAAAAATATGAGTCCAAGCATCACATACTTTGACCTTCATAATAGTTGTCGCAAAGGACAAACAAACAAAAGCCAAAAAAGTCCTCCCCCCAAAAAAAAAAACCATTAATTTACAAAAGGGACACAGGACAGAGGCATGAAATACATCCAATGAATGTATCTCTGTATATGCGCAAGTGTGTGAAGATATTTGTATGTTTGACTGTTAAAGTTAAAGCTGGGAGGATGTTAACGGGTGTTATCCCATACAGCTCTGTCTCTCCATGGAAAAGCTAGCCACCTGCCGAGAACATCACCAAAGTATGAACTCTGTAGCTCCAGCGATAAACCCCAGGGATCTCCATAAGAATTGCACGTGTGAACCAAAAAAATGCAGCCGCGAAAAGAACCCATGAACTTCAGAACGGGGCAGATTGTTTGACCACTTCACCAGAGAAACACCTCTCCCCTCCCCACCCTGGGTTGTATGTGTACATGTATGTTTTCACGTGTATGGGCATAGCAGCAGACCCTCCCCTGCCCGAAGGTCTTGCTTGGGTTAAAATTTAGATCAGTGTCTTGTCAAACGTGACCTTGGCTTCCAGTTAAAGGTAAAGGATTGGTCAAAGGATTAAGTCTTTTAGTGGATTGTGAAGATAATAACATTATTTAAGAGTCTGCTACAGGATAATAAACATCTGTATGCTCAGGAAACAGTATGGAACAGTAGAAACATATAGAGAACTAGCTGTACCTGGCCACGCGTTGCTGTGACCCAAAATGGTGAAATGGAGAGGAAAGAAAATAGCTCTCAGCTAACAGTGTCTGTCATATCCCCCTCCCTCCCCTCGACCCAGTCATTTCTCCCTCTCCGAAGGATTAAAAAATCATCCATGGCGAAATTATTAAAGTAGAAATAGTTAAGAAATGAGAACTTTAAAATAATATTTTAAGCTCTCTCAGCTAACTGTGTCTGGCATAAACCCCCCCCCCACCCCCCTTCCAATCATATCTCCCTCTCTGAAGGATTGAAAAATCATCAACTTGTGAAATAATTAAAATTAGAAATAGTTAAGAAATGAGAACTGTAAAATAATATTTTAAGCTAACTCAGCTAACACATCACCCATCCAGTACCAGTACTACTGCAACCACTACCACCACCACCATCACAACAACAACAACAACAAAAACTGTCACTACAGTCTGTGTAGGTCGGTGTAGAAAAGAGGAGTTAGCGCCGCATGCTGTCGCCACGGACTATTTAGTTATATTTTGCCCCCGACATAGGAAAAAAAAACCAAACTTTATCACGTAACCAGTGATGGAACCCACAGTGAAAAGTACACTATACTCACGAATAGCGGAGAAAAATACCCTGCACCCTTCATCTCTCCCTCTCTGAGGAAACGATTTTTAAGTGACCTTGGCATCCGTGTCCACCCAAACTTAACTGGACTGTAAGCCTTCTTAGTTAACAGTGTCTGTCATCGCCGAATAGTTTTTGTTTGAGAAGCGTCGCGGGCAGGCAAATTAGGACTTAACTGAAATCAGATGTCTTTGGGCGAAAGACGCAGATATCGCAGCCTAGCTGTAAACCACAACACAACGTGGAAACCACCCTTTTAAGGGAAAAAGAACAATTATCACCCAGCGGGGAATCGAACACCGGTCACTCGCGTGAAGGATGACATACTTACAACTATACTACCGACGACTGAAGAGTTTAGGTCAGATATCGCAGCCTAGCTGTTAACCACAACACGTGCCAACAGCCCTCTCGAGGGCAAACGAAGATTACCCGTGACATGACCATTGAGAATCACGTCGCGGCTGTCGCAGGCTAGCTGTAAACCCCAAAACCGAAAAAGGCGTAGATATCGCAGCCTAGTCATAAACAACAACACAACGTGCCAGCCGCCCAGTTAAGGGCTAAAAAAAGATTATATCACCTAGCTGGGAATTGAACGCGGGTCACCCGCATGATAGACAGAATAGCTACCAACTACGCTACCAAACACTCAAGCAGAAAGTGGAAATGAAATTATTTAATAACGCAAAGTTCAATAAGAGCTCAGCAGTCAAATATGGCCAATTAACTAAAAACAAATCCTGGCCGGCAACGAAACAAATAATGATTTGACCGTTGCTGGAGCTACGTCATTCGTGGTTTGTGCGATTTTCTGACAAAAAATCACGCTTGGAGTCAAATGCAACGTTGTGTGCAAATTTGAAAGCAATCGGTTCAGTAGTTTCCGATTTTTTAGCTAACAACATCAGAAAATTAACAATTTGATTAATATAGATTAAACACTTATTATTAAAGCACTATGGCTATATTTAAAATAATATTTAATAGGGACATTTTCTCCATGGAAATGTTATCTTTAAATCACAACAGTGTTCAACAGTGTTAAGATTCTGTAAAATATATGTATATTTAGTTTTCTTAATATGGCCAGGTATTCTAAGAATCTGTAGCATTTAATTTCAAAAGACTTTATTTTCTTCTTCACTGGCTCCAAACTGGTCTTTGATTCATATTCATTCCCAGAGAAAAGATTCACTTATATCCTCAAAAATAATCACAAAGAAATAGCAAAACTAATGTTATCAGAGTCCTGTTCAACCCCTGTAAGTCATAATTGAGGTATATCAAGTTTTGTGTCTTTCCAGACACTGGATTTTTATTTGCTGAATACTTCTGGCTACTTAACTTTTTAAGGCCCAAGCAACGGTGTGAGCGTTGATTGAGAAGTTCCGTTTTGCCCAAACAATGCTGTCATTGTCGATCGTGTATCCCGTACATTTTGCTTCGCACACGGCTCGGTACTTATTTCTAATGTTCGGAAGTACGATTAAACTATTCAGGGGAAGTCACTCTGCCAAAATCCTTTCAGATACTTTCACTATCAGAAATCAAACATGCATAATTTGAACAGATTCACTGTGAATTTTTTTTCAACAGTGCATTTTCTAAGTTCGTTTTCAAGTGCGATGAATAATAATGTTCCCACCACAAGTACAGGTCGCAGAATGCATCTTTCTGTGACTGAAGCTCTGAAAATGTTTCAGTCAGATGTTTTTAATCCTGATAATGATAATGAAAATTTAGATTTTTCGGAAAGTGATTCGGACAGGGCATTTTCACCGATCAGCTGTTCTGAATCTAGCGATTCTAATGAGTTTATTACACAGACAATGTCCCATTGCTACCGTATTTATAGTATAAGAGAAAGAAAGTGCTCTAAACAAAGAGACAGTACTATACTATGGCTAAGCTACACTGAAATCATCGCAGTTAAAGTCTGTATATAACTGTACGAAGCAAATAGTAAATAGCGTGTGTGTGTAATGGCTAATTTTTCGGCCATTTTTTTCTCTGAAATTTTTCTCAGCACTTTGTGAGAACTAAGAACCCCTGAGTGCTAAACTAACCCAGAAACTTATCATAACTTTGGAATTTGTTAGGAAATTGAACAAACTTTAAAGTTTTGTTCTCAAATTTAGATATTCACTACTCGTGTGGCTGCAAAATGATGGTAAGTGAAGAATTTATTTGTAAAATGTTGCTGTTGTGAAATAAACATCTGCTGAATTCTTTCCTATTAACTATATAAAAATTGAAGATACATTTATCATCAGATTCAAAATATACATTCATTTCTCTTTAAAAATGTATATACTTTTATTAGGATTAGAAGTATTTTACATTCTCTATTGCCTTTCTTGTACACCCACCCCTCTGCCACTTTTGTAAAGGGCAATTAATGTGGGCCAAGTCTGTCGAAATTCATGGGCCTAAAAGAGTTTATAAGAGTCCTAATCCCAATAAATGTTAATTATAAAAGATATTGTATGTTTAAAACTTTAAATACTAACACTAAAAATAAAAAGCTTACTTTTTAAATATTGGTGTGCTATCATCAATCTATGGGTATTTTCAAAATGATTATATTATGCGTATTTTCAAAGTTATTACTACTATTGTTAGTATGCAACTTTTAATATCCTATATGCATATTTTAGTTCTTGCAATGTGATGTTTAACTCAGGGAGTCAGGGAGTCTCAGGGAATGCATCATGCGCTATTTGGTAATAAAGCTATAACATTACGGGTAAATTGAGTGTTATAAAAACTTTGTTTTGTGTGAAGATACTGTTTTGGGAAGTCATTTCTCTTTACCAAACAAGGGTGCTCTGTTAATATGGTGTTCCAAAAGTTTCTCTAGACCACGATATAATGTACGGATTGTGTTTATATTTTATTTATACATTACTAAGTGGTTCACATTCATTTGTGATTTGTTTAGGATATATTTTATCATGTTTTTTAGACTCGTAGTCTGGTAGTCTTAGTTTCAGCTTCATAGCAAACGGGTCACCCCATCTTTGCTCCGCTCTTGTGCCAACGAAAAACACACAGAATGTTTATCACAGTATTAGAATTGCAGTTCATCATTGATGGTAGTTGAAGTCGCCAACAGATCAGCAGTTGCCCACGCGATTAATTTTAATCACATACGGGCACCACAACACTGCACGACAGGCATTGCGCCATTTTCTGAATCTACAATTCACACCAACACGTTGGTCACAGTCGAAAAAACATTCCAAATGCAATCCGCAGCTCACAGGGTCACGCCATGCATTCAACTCAGAAGCTGGGCGACGAAACTATATCCAGTCTACAAATGGAGCAAAAATGCATCAGCCACCGTCCGGCAGAAGCAAAAAATTTGCCTCTGTTTCGTACAGTGCCGCTGCCTAACGTCCATTTTGATCGGAATTTTTTTAGAGCAACAAGGTGGTAAGTGGATAAATTATTATTTCATTTTAAAAGGTTCTCTACTTACTAAACATTATGTCTTTTTATTTATTAATGTTTAACTACTGGCACAATTTAGTCTTGTAGCAGTATTCTGGCATGACGCTGACCACATCACCCATCTTGTGCTGATTTGTTATAAAATATAGGTCTAGCCCTATATGCCTTATGGCATGGAAAAAGGTTCTTGGCTATCCTATGAATAACAGTCACAAATTATCGAGGCTAAGAAAATACCCTAACAGGGCCTCAGTCATATGTAAATTGCAGACCTCTTTCCGGCGACTATACAGCATAAAAGCTTCCGCTGAGTTAAAGTCACTGCCGAGTTTCCCTGCGCTACGCGCTGAGGGGGGCTAAATTAGATGACTGGGATTCATGAGCAGCAGCTACCACATCTCCTGCTGCTTAATCCATTTTATTTGTTTGTGAGTCCCAGGCATAGTGTTTAGCCCCCCTCAGGGCCACACATAGCGGCGCGGTGGATACTCTCAGCATGGCGGTATATCGCCAGAAAGAGGTCCACATATGACTGAGGCCCTGATAGCCAGGGTCCTTTACTTTACTTTTTAAGCAGTATTCTAATATTATTCCTCACCAATCCATGATCACCTTGATAGATTATATAACTATAATGGGCTCTCCTCCGAACTTCAACCCGATATTATGGCAGCCATAAAATATCCTTACGGGGCTTAGGCATATGTAAAATGCGGACTTTCTGCCAAGGAACAAATTGCTGCAAAACTAGGATTACTTGACAATTTCAAGAGACGCAACATTGCAGACGATAGTAGCAGACGATAATAGCGACCGTTGACAATTCCGAGCATTTCTGCAGGTGATAGTAGCAGACGATAATAGCATGTGCAAAATGTGATTAAACTCACCACCGAGCATATCCCCGCGCCGCTGCTCGCGGTGCAGATGGGAGGCTAAACTAGGCGCCTGGGACTCAAGAGCAAATTAAGTGGAGGAAGTTACAGGAGATGCGGTAGCTGCTGCTCGTGAGTCCCAGCCATGTAGTTTAGCCCCCATCCGTGCCGCGCGTAGCGGCGCGGGGGATACGGTCGGCGGTGAGGCATAGTCACAGAAATAGGTCCGCAAGCAACATATTGCTGAGACCCTGTTAGAGCATTTGTTTCGTTACACGGAGCCGGCATATTTTTTATAGAACTGAGCCCCGTGAGAAGATTTTATGGCCGCCATAATATCTAGTTGAAGTTCGGAGGAGAGCCCTGTAATGAATTAATATGGTCTGTTTTAATGTATTACAATTGTGAAATTTCAAAATTGCAATACCACCCCTTTGGCCTCTGGTGCTAGACCCCCGGGAACTCAAAAAGAGTTAATTATTTGTAACAGTGTCAGTCAGATCGTCAAAGAAGCAGAAGCACGGTCACTACAGTTTTTAACAAAAACCAAGGCTTCTGGACATTTAATTTATTCTAAATGCTTTTTACCTTCAGTTTCAAGATCCGTTAAAAAGGATAAATGTTCCTTGTGGGAATCTTCGTACACGAGAAGCATTGTTCCACTTTGTAACTACAACACTATACTAGAGTATAAACTTTATTGTATAAAGTATAAAGTCAGACTACCCCCCGAACAAGAGATGGGCGTTAACCCGGAAGTTATCATCGAACCGGAAGTCGATGATTTAATGCAGTGAATTCAAATTATTTTAAGTTGAGTTGAATCCTATTTTATTTTTATTTTTTGTTCACTGACTGTAAGCGAAAGTTTTGGTTATTCGCTCATTTAGACTTTGGCTTTGTGCCATGGCATGAGTTTTACGTGTACATCCGTTTTACTGGCTTATGTGTGTGCAGTTGGTTGTTCCTTGCCGCTCGGACAGATAAACTTCGACTTCGAAGGCACGACGAAGGAAGCTGCCAATTAGTCGACTCTTACGACATGCTTATTGGAGTGGCAGTGGGTCTATTCTTTTTTCCCCACAAAGGGAGCCTGAACCCACACAGGGAACTGGGGACACTCCCATTATCACTCTGTCCCTATCTTCAGCAGACAACGCAGAGTTCCAGTACCAGTAGCAGTCTGATTTTAAGATCCGTTTTGTCTTTCCTCTCAGTGTCTAGTAGCGGCCAGATCCCCTCTGCATGGCTCTCACCAGACTGTGGTGATCAATTGTCTATTCTAAATTGTACTCGTGCTCCCATAAGGCCGTAACCACGTCTGCCTTATCACGCATCATTAATCCACCAGGTTGTGCAGAGCTAGCCAGTCTGTCCGCCTGTTCATTTCCCAACACACTGGCATGCCCCGAGAAAAGATCCAGACAATGCTCTTCACTCTTGACCACTGAAGGGAAAAATGTCACTCTGCATGGAACATACCTGTCCTAACCTTCCTTGGCGGGATTTACGAATCAGTTACAATGGCAGTGTGTGTGTATAACGTTCTCTAGCCAGCGAAGAGCCTCCAACTTCTTTCTTAAGCTCGATGTTGTGGTATATGCTAGGCTCTCCGGCACTAAACTTCGACCATAAACTTTTGCCAAGAACCACCAGGTACTTTTGCCTCTTGACGGGAAACCATCTATATAAATAATCACATCACCCGAGCGAGCTTTTTCGTTAATTAATTGCTGAATGTCCACTTTCGTGCAACTGCTGGCCACTCCCTGCACTCTCGACTTAGTGTGATTATGACTCCACAATTCCGACTCTTCTGCTGGCACTTTGACCCACTTCTCTCCTCGCTAGTAGTAGACCAGAAGTGCCTTACCCAGACAGGAAATATTCTTTGTAAAGACTAATCAGCAGTAACATTAAAACAGACGCACTAACTACAAGTCCTAATCTTAAACAAAACAACTGGAACTATAATTATCACGCTGAACATCTGTTTATTTCACTAAACACAAAACTAAGCGCTGTTTACAACAAAAACATTAACAACCATCAACGTGCCAAGAACTTCAATAATAAAATGAAATATCTACGAGCGATGATACACACTGATATGCCTCTACACAGTTCAACTACTAGAGACAAATCCAGATTAAACTATGTAACCATACTGCAGCCATGATGGCAGCCATCTCTCTGTCGGCTTGATCTAACACACCTGCATTGCGTTGAGACCACGTGTAGTCAAGCGACGGCAGCCAGGGCGTTTGAACGAACGAACGAACGAACAAACTTTTTTCAAAGGGTTACACATTGGGCACTCAGGCCCCTTTGACATTCGGCCAGTAGCGTTTGACCATGGCGAGCTGACCAGTAAAGCCAAAAAAAGGAGCGTCTCTTGAAACTGGATAAAGAAACAAAAACTTCAAATTTTGTCCTCTTTCAGTCGCCTGAAGGCCTGCTTTATTGAGGACGGTTTCTTTGCTATCTGATTTTGTTTGTTTCCTTGCGGCGATCATTTTCGCCTAAGTTTGATTTCTTGCTGTATTGGCTTTAATTGGGAGTGGATGTTTTACTAGTCCTGAGAAGGACTAGTAGAATATGCCTGGGGCGGCCTCGATCGGGTATGGGTGGGAGTAAATCTGGTTGTTGTTCAATCATGCCTGGCTGGTCTATCTGGTTGGCTGTGCTTCCTCGCGTCAGTAAGCTGGCTTGTTCCACAAAAACTGGGTGTCATAGCGGCTTGGTAGGTTCTGATTGGCTGCTGGCTTCGTCATGTCATGGTGGGTTGTCTGGTTGATCAATATTTGCGCTAAAGTCTGTTTGGCGTCCCCTGCCTCCTTTGTTTCCATCTTGTCTTGATCAGCTGTGTATGGGCTGCTTCCATCTCTTCATGGAACCCATTAATTTTTTGCGTACAAGGTTTTTTTTTTTTTTTTTCCTCAGCGGGTAGCAGATCGACTTTATTCCATTCCTCGTGATCAAAAGTGATAACATAGCGGTTCTTGTAGAGCTCGATCTTGTGCGGGTGTATTTGTTCGTTAAAACCTTGTAGCATCTTTTGAACGTCGGCCTCGCTTCTCTCCTTACCGGCTACCGCTTCTTTGCCTTCTTCACAGGGTGTGGCATAAAATTATATCACCTAGCGGGGAATCGAGCACGGGTAACCCGCATGATAGGCAGAATAGTTACCAACTTCTCGGGTGCCTCGATGTTTTATTAACTTATGGCTGGCCAGGTTTCTTCGCATGTGCAATCAAACTAAAATCAATAGCTGTTGGCTTCTGGCTACACTATAATCAATAAAACCATCATAAAGATCTACGTTGTATTCCCTGCATTTTTCAAGATTATTCTCATATTAAAGATATGATCCCTAGTTCTTTTTACGCTGTCTGAACTCGCACGTGCTTATTAATATTTCGGCTATCCTTTGAATAACAGGCACTAAATATGGCGGCCGCAAAATATCCGTTTGAGCCGCAGTCACGTGTCAATTGCGCACTTCCGGCTACTTAATTTGCGGATTTCCGGCGACTATCGCCACCGTCACGTAGCCCCTACGCCGCTCACGCAATTGGGTCCTAAACTAAATGGCTAGGACTCACGGGCAAAGCTGCAGGGGATGCGGCAGCTGCTGCTCGTGAGTCTTGGCCATCTAGTTTAGCCCCAATCCACGCCGCGTGAGCGGCGTGGTGGCCATGAGGTGGTAGCGGTTGTTGGCAGAAAACTGCCGGAAACCCGCAAATTAAGTAGCCGGAAGTGCGCGATTGACACGTGACTGCGGCACGAACGGATATTTTGCGGCCGCCATCTTTAGTGCCCGTTATTCGATGGATAACCAATATTTCTTTCCAAGCATTTTAATGATAATTCAGAAGAGGATTTTGCTAGCATGACTTCTTAGTGCGATGCTACGATACTTGGAGCATAGTTTTTAATTGGAGAGGGATATAAATTGTATTTCAGGATCCTCGCCGGAGTTCGTTCAATGCGCTGAGATTCTTCGGACTCGGGCTTAAGTCAGAAGTAGAACGGAGCACTTATAGGTCGTGCCATGATGTTGATCTGTCATCTAAACCTTATCCAGTTCTTTACCACGATTTAGACCAAATGGCACTTTTCGAGATCTTTGTGCGTGGTAAACTCGGAAGTTCTGGATAAGTTCGACTGGAATTTCATCGCAACCTGGTGACTCCCCTTTTCTGCAGATTGCATTGTTGATTGTACCTCCTCTAATCAAGGCTCTGTTTGTTTTTTTTGTTTTTTTTGGGGGGGGGGGGGGGGTTTTTGTGTGTGTCGCTGTCACTTTCATTAATTGTTTTCCAATTACTTGTCCGATAATTGCACATTTCTGAGCAGTATTCTTTTCATCCTACTAATATGTCCCCGGGAGGTAGGCAGTGTTGCCACTTTTCTTTGACAAAAAACATCCAAAACGGAGTCAAAAAATATCTAAAAACATCTTAATTTGCGTGGAAAACATCAGAAAAAACATCCAAATTGAAAGAGTCACAAATTACATAGCAATTGATATAACTTAGCCTATAGAATCATGTCCTCATCTTTACTGAAATCTGTCTTACAAGATCCACAGGATAAACTCAACTTAGATGATGAAGTTGGAGCTTCAGATCCAAAATGACTGGTATGCTTTAGCTGTTCCAGTTTCTTTTAATACCCAATCACGGAGCTGATAAGTGAAACAGCATTTTCCTACTCTTATCAGGCCGAATTTTATTGTCAAGATAGCATTTAAGAGGTCAAATTTCATCCTGTTTATTAGGTTAGATTTGATAAATTCACTCCAAATGAAAAACATCTAGAAACACACCTACCATCTAAACGTCAAAAATGCCATCTAAATGCAAGGAAAAAATCTAAATCTGGATGTAAAACATTAAAAGTGGCAACACTGGAGGTAGGTGCTTTGCTGGGGGGGGGGGGGGGGGGGGGGGGGTCGTCACTTTCAACCAACAATACTGAATGCTAGATTGTGACTAGGTTATGTGCGCCAGATAAAATGGCTTAGAATTCCACGCCACCAAAAGCCCTGTAAATAACTCCTGCTGTGTTAATACGAAGTCGTCTACCAGCGAGCTAATAGGCGACCTGGTTCCCGATAGGTAATATGTCCACATTGGCCACTGGAAACTAATATTATTTTTTTTCCGTGGACACTTGATTGTTCTGACAACTTCGAGAACACTCCCAGATAGCATAAACTAGGACACGGGAAATTCTAGCGTCGCACGTTGGTTAAACATGCTACGCCATATCACCGATAAGTTTTTAAAAGGAGTAGAAAATTATAGGGAAGAGAAAAAGTTGGTAAGAAACAACAAATAGTTTATGTTAGCTTTACAAAATCGATCACAATAAACAAACAAAGGACGTTGCGGCAATAAGCCTTCATCAGCACATAAAGGACACAGTAAACATACACAAATATGCTCTAACTATGAAGTGACTACATAGGACTCTAATGTATAAAATAAATGATACTCATCTGTGTCCCGGGCGAAAAAAACTTCGTACAATAAAATGACAGCCAGCCACTAGCCTATATATCTCCAACGCGAGGGTGGTGAGCGAAAAAAAAAAAAAGGGGCGGATTAGACGCCAACAGCGTACACTGAGTGTCTAAGGAGGGAGGGG